AACACCCCCTTTCTAATATTATAGTATAACTAACACCCCCATTCTAATATTAGAGTATAACTAACACCCTCTTTCTAAATATTAGAGTATAACTAACACCCCCATTCTTAATATTATAGTATAAATAACACCCCATTTTAAATATTAGAGTATAACACCACCATTTCAAATATTATAGTATAACTAACAGCCCATTTCTAAATATTAGAGCATAACTAACAGCCCCTTTCTAAATATTAGAGTATAACTAACACCCCCTTTCTAAATATTAGAGTATAACTAATACCCCCTTTCTAAATATTATAACTAACACCTCATTTCAAATATTAGAGTATAACTAAAACCCCTTTCTAAATATTATAGTATAACTAACACCCCATTTCAAATATTATAGTATAACTAACACCCCCTTTCTAAATATTAGAGTATAACTAACACCCCCATTCTAAATATTAGAGTATAACACCCCCTTTCCAAATATTAGAGTATAACTAACAGCCCCCATTTCAAATATTATAGTATAACTAACACCCCCTTTCTAAATATTAAAGTATAACTAACACCCCCTTTCTAAATATTAGAGTATAACTAACACCCCCTTTCTAAATATTAGAGTATAACTAACACCCCCTTTCTAAATATTAGAGTATAACTAACAGCCCCCATTTGCCATTTGAAATATTATAGCATAGTTCACCCTGCTCACCCATCGCCCCCTCTCACCCTATGGAAAAATAATAAGTAAACCTCTTACAGAAAAACCTTGAAGGCCAGGATGACCCAAGGACACCTGAACAAACAGGGTAAAACTCAGCCCATCCATACAACCAAGATAAGGGTTTATTGGTGGGTTTACTCCCACTTACAGGATAAGGGGCTGCTGGAATATACCACCCCAGCTGACAAGACAAGTCTGTGTGTTCTAACCTCTCTGTGTTTCTTGTATAAAACCCTGTTCCCCTCCTCACTTTGGGGTCAGACACTCCGGCTGCCGGCAATGAACTTTGCTGTTTCTTTACGTTTTCCGAACTGAGTTCTTTCTGACTCGCGCTACCGCAACACGAGAAGTTCCATCCCCATGGTTAGTAACGCCAACATGGCACGGACTGCAGACAGCGGTGTTCTGGTTCCAGGTCTGAGTCCTGGCCATGTCCCTGAGCCTGTGACCCCGTACCTCCAGGACGATTACAGTGCCCACTGCCATGGAGTAGGTGTCGTACTGAGCCACCTGTCGGCTCAGAGATAGGCTCAGGGTCTTCAGGGTGTCCAGGTACTGCCTGAGGACCTTTGTGCCAAGGTTCAGAAGGACTTCTGAACTATTCTCCTCCAAGTAGAGTTGGATCCAATTCTTGTGCAACTTCTCTGACATTTGAAACTGTTCAAATCCGGGATCTAAAAAGAAAACAGGATATGTACTACACACACACACACACACACACGTTGTTGCTGTTAAGTGTTGTTCAGTCGGTTCCAACTCATAGAGCCCCTGTAAAGGGTTTCAGAGGAGCAGCTGGTGGGTTTGAACTGCTGACCTTGTGGTTCACAGTCCAGTGCTGATTCTACTGCACCACAACGAAAGTCCACTTATATGTATACGTATATGTGTGTGTGTGTGTGCATATATATATATACACACACACACATATACGTATATATATAATATCTATACATTAAGGAGCACTGGTACCGTAGTCGTACTGTAGTGGTTACGAATTGGGCTGCTAACCTCAAGGTCAGCAGTTCGAAACTACCAGCTGTTCCACGGGAGAAAGATGAGGCTTTTAGCTCCTGTAAAGATTTGCAGCCTCAGAAACCGTGTACAGGGTCGCTATGGGTCAGAACTGACTCCACAGTCTTTAACAATAACAACAACATATATATATATATAAATACATATCTCACACACATGCATCTAAGGGAGGAAACTCACTAGAAAACATGCAGACCCCAGGCTGGACACACAGACTTCCCCAGGCCCAAGGGAGCGCCTGCTTTCCAGCCCAAATGTGCCGGAGGGGCCACCTCCAGGGCACCACAGGTGTGAGATGCATGCCCCCCCCCCCTGCAGAGGAAGAGTCTCAGGACAGACCTCAAAGAAGGGAAAGCGGCTGAGGTGGTTCTGCTTCAACCCATACAGTTAAGACAGTCTTGTGGAGGGGGTTAATACATAAATATATTTATTTATTATAATCCTGTTTATTGTATTGGGGAACATTTCTTTTTTTACTTTCCTGAAGTAAAGACTTTATCATCTATGATCACTCTCTTTTTCTTTAACTACTTCCTGAAGTGAGTAAAGAATTTATAAACACTCTCCTTTTCTTTTCCTGAAGTAGGAATGCACGCCTTAAAAATTTGAACTAGCCAACCGGGTAAGGGAAAAGATTGTGCGGTCAAAGCCCTAGCCAATGGGCTGAGATGCAGCCTTGAGACTCAATCCGAGTGGACTGTCCACTCGGTGTGCTCGCTGGCCTGTCCCTGTGTGTACGGCTATGCACACGCACCCTCTTGCAGGAGTCAATCTTGCTTTGCCAAGGTCATTTAGTCTCACCGAGTGTCCTTTACTTGGAATCGGGATTCACGTGTAACAGTCTAACCCAGTGCCAAAGGAAGGGAGATCCCCAAGAAGAAAACAATCCCCTCCCACCACCATCAGTACCACCACGAGAAGGGAGGGAGGCGGTGGGGAGGAGGAAAGCGCAGGGAAGAGGATGAGATTAGAAGGGGAAGGAGACAGGTGTGCCAGGGTTCAGTTCAGGTGAGAGTTGGGGCTCTCAGGGCAGGATCCCTGCTGACTCAGTCACTAAACTCTCCCCCAAGTCTGCAGCTAACCCCAGGGAGACGGGCCCACTTACCTTTCTCATACAGAGGCACATTCTCTTGCAACAATTTGCTAAGCTGCACGGCATTTAAATGTAAAAATCTTAATTGTTCTCGCATGGACTTTCCTTCCACAACTGGGAATAAGAGCCGCCCCACACTGCTCTTTGGAATTGGCAAACCCAGTGAGATGGCCAGTGTGGCGGCCAGATCAGTCTGTTGGACGTGCTTCCGGTGTCTGACGTCACCTAGGAGAAGGAAACAGCCAGCTTCAGACTAGAAACTGCCAGCAGGGGTTTCTCTCTCACGTAAATGGCTCAGGAGCTGCAGGATCCTATCTGCCTACCAAGCCCCCCACATGCATCCTGGCAGGAACACTGATGAAACAAAAACTACAGTAAGACAAATCACAAAATCTGGACCTAGTGGGGCCTCCTCAGGTGATCAACTGACAGGACCTAGTGTTATGCCCAGAATTCCGGGGTCCCCAAACACCACCCAGGAGCCGTGTACCGATGTAAATACATTAGGGTTGTTTATTCAAGCTCGAGCCAGGTCTCTAACCTTATCCAACGCAGTGGAATAGGGAAAGAGCCCCGAACTTGAACTTATTGTCTGCAGGGTTTTTATAGAGTTTTCAAACAGCTCAGGTTTCTCAGCTTTACAATCTTTGGATTGGTTAACAATTGGCAAACTATGAGATGTTACAGTTTAATTGGTCAGGACTGGTGGTTTTTGTTCTTAGGCTAGGGTAAAGGAAAACATCTGGCCTCTGGCCTTGAGCTGCCTGGCTAATTATACATCTATCATTTTCTTGGAGCTAGAGGACGTGCTAAAGCTTATATACGAAATGGATTCTTCTCTTTGGTCCTACACTAGTAAGGAGGAAAAGGGACACCCCAGTCCTAAGAGGCCAAGGGCAGCCTGCAGACTGAACAGACTCAGAGACCCACCAATGAATCAAAGTCTGTGGACCTTGTCTGAAGCCTGAGCCAAGCTGAAAAACTAGAGAGACAGAAAGCGGAAACTGAACCCTGACTGTCTGATGATATTAAGGAATCACGGTTAGTTTTTCAAATAATAACGTCAAGATTACAGAGAAAACACACGTGGCTTTAGAGATCTACTTCCAAAAAACAAAGGAGAGGGGGCATGAGTGTGGGAGCAAGTGAAAGAAGATGAGACACTGCCCATAACTGGCCAGTAACTGTTGACACTGAAGGCTTGGAGATGGCCTATGGGATTGTGACATTTCCCAGAATACAGAGTGGCCTAGAAGACGACATTCCCATCCTGTGGGATGGACACTCCTATAGAGACTCCCACCGAGGCTGTCCACCCATGCATCACAAATGTCAGCCTGATCACACACCTGACCCCAGGACACAGACAAACCTCCACTCTTGGCCTCTTGACTTTGTCCCATCCGTCTGTCTGACTAGTTCTTGCCAGCACAAACGATTTCCATAGCTGGAGCCATGATTAGCTTTGGGCCCTGTCCTGTGGTCATTTCACCCACCCACTAATCTCCCCTCATCCCCACGTCCTTCTGGCCCAGCTACCACCCACGCTCTGGACAGCTAAGTCATCTTTGCAACATTCAATCAGCAAACAGGGTGATGAACATGTTCAAAATGGACTGTAAGAGTACTCATAAGTATCTGTGAACTGTCCGGTCTCAACAAAGCTTTGACAAAAGACAAGAAGACAGGCCTGGTTCATTAAACGGGCATCATGGGCAAGGAGGTCTAAGTGGGTGTGTCATACAGATCAGAGGAGGGGTGGAAGGACCCCTGGGCTGGGCGATGGTGGCACTAAAGTCAGGGAAGCAGACTCAGGGAGGCAAGAAGGCAGGCTGGGAAAAGAGCAGGAAAGGCGCAAGGCCAGCAGTCAGCAAGGAAGTGAAAGGTGGGAGGAGGTCAGAGGAGCACAGCACACATGAGGCAAGGAGGCCTCTGTCAGGGAGGAGAGGGTGCCACAGTCCAGATGGGCTGTTGGGGGTGAGTCCCAGAAGGAGACAAGTGACTGGGCTGGAGTCATCAATAGTCCTTCTGACAGGACCCTGTGACTGGGTGGCATTGCTAGTCAAAATACTTTTCAGTAGCGGAAACTCTAAAACCTCTACTGCTACTGACTGCAAGGTTGGCAGTTCAAACCCACCAGCTGCTCCTCAGGAGCAAGATGAGGCTTTCTGCTCCTGTGAAGATTTTCAATCTCAAAATCCTTAAACAGGATTGCCTTCAATATGGGTTGTGCCTCAACGTAAAGAAAACAAAAATCCTCACCACTGGACCAATAAATATCATCATGATAAATGGAGAAAAGATTGAAGTTCTCAAAGACTACATTTTGCTTGAATATATTATCAACACTCATGGAAGCAGCAGTCAAGAGATCAGATGACGTATTGCATTAGGCAAATCTGCTGCACAAGACCTTTTTAAAGTGTTGAAGAGCAAAGATGTCAGCTTGAGGACTAAGGTGTGCCTGACCCAAGCCATGGTATTTTCAATAACCTCATATGGATGCGAAAGCTGGACAGTGAATAAGGAAGACTGCAGAAGAATTGATGCCTTTGAGTTATGGTGTTGGAGGAGAATATTGAAAGTGCCATGGGCTGCCAAAAGAACCAATAGATCTGTTTTGGAAGAAGTGCACCCAGAATGCTCCTTGGAGGCCAGGATGGCTAAGCTTCATCTCTTATACTTTGGACATATTGTCAGGAGGGAGCAGTCACTGGAAAAACATACCAGGCTGGGTAAAGCGGAGGGTGGGAGAAAGAGAAACACCCCCAACCAGATGGCACAGTGGCAGCAGCACTGGACTCAAGCGTAACGATTGTCAGGACCTGTGGCTCTGTGTGTAGCAGGCTGTCAGGACCTGTAGTTCTCTGTGTGTGTGTGTAGCAGGCTGTCAGGACCTGTCGTTCTCTCTCTGTGTGTGTAGCAGGCTGTCAGGACCTGTCGTTCTCTGTGTGTGTGTGTGCAGCAGGCTGTCAGGACCTGTCGTTCTCTCTGTGTGTAGCAGGCTGTCAGGACCTATAGTTCTCTGTGTGTGTGTGTAGCAGGCTGTCAGGACCTGTCGTTCTCTCTGTGTGTGTGTGTAGCAGGCTGTCAGGACCTGTCGTTCTCTCTGTGTGTGTGTGTAGCAGGCTGTCAGGCCCTGTCGCTCTGTGTGGTTCTGAGACACACACACACACACACACACACAGAGAGTCGCTATGAGTCTGAACTAACTCAATGTCACCTGACAACAAAATGAGTCAGAACTGATTCCACCGGCAGCGAATCTGGGTTTGCTTTTTGTTCAGGTTGCCCTAGGAGTCCTGCTCTCTTCCAGTGCTAATGGAGAGGTGGGCAGAGACGAGGCTGGCTGCTCCCGGGGACCCAACAGCCTTGGAAACCCTGCGAGTCTGTGTGACAGGGCTGCTGGGAGGTGCACTGGAGCTGGCAGCGTTGGGTTTGGTTTAGGGTTCAGTTCAAGTGTCACTGAGTGACTGACTGACTATACTCATTAACAGTTCTAAACATCCAAATAATCACTTTCATACAGTAAAATTCCTACAAAGAGTAGGCAAAGAAAAGATGGTAAAAGGAGTTCTTCAGAGTGAAGCAAAATGAGTTAAGTCAGAAAATCAGACTTATTAAAGAAGAATGCTCGAGAAAGTATAAATGAAGATAAACACAACCTTTTCTTTTTCTTGTTCTTAACTGATTAGCAGGTTACTTCCCGACAGTCATGATCCCCTACTGCCATAAAGTCGGTTCTAACTGAGTGGCCCTAGAGGACAGAGGAGAACTGCCCTGTAGCAAGTCCAAGGCTATACAGCTCCAGGAAAAGACAGCCTCATCTTTCTCCCATGGGACAGCTGAAGGATTCAAACTGCCGGCCTTTTGCTTAGCAACCCAACGCTTAAATGGCTGTGCCACCCCCAAGAGTTCCCTGAAACACTGACAATGCTTAGATGTGGGATGATTCCAGCTGATGGACAATTGAACTGCTATCATCAGGGACGGGAGGGAGGACTGCGAACAGTCTTAGGGGAAACAATAGTGAACAATTTGTGAGGAGACTTAGCTTCACGGTAAACTTAAACCCAGGGCAACCACTGTAACATTTTTTTAAAAAGTACAGATTGAGACAAAATGAGCTCAAAAAATGCTCAATTAAACCAGAGAAGGCAAACAAATGAGTGGAAGACAAAAAAACAAAACAAAACAACAAAAGCAAAGGCAGCCCGTAGAAAACAGCTCCAACTATGGTGCTAGGAACCCACGCATATCAACAGTCACTTGACACGTGGATGGTAAAAAGACACTGAGGGAAAGATAGATACTCAGAGTGGACAAAAAACAAGAACCAACTAGATGTTGCCACGAGAAGCCCACCTTAAACGTTACCATGGATTAAACTGTCCATCAGAAATATGGCAGGAGCATGGCTCTCTAGCAATGAGGTAAGAAGCCAATCAGCTAGAGAGGGAGATTAACTGGGATATGGCCTCCAACACCTTTCATCTTGTAAGACAAAAGAAGAGAGAAGCAGCAGAAATCACAAACAAGAGGCAGGAATGGAGTACACGTTTCAGACCTGGGTCCCTACACTGACAGCCTCTAGACCCAGGGGCACACTGAAGCCACATGGAGACACATGGAGAAGTCCAAGGAACGCAGGGCCTATAGAAGCTGAAAGGAGACAGAGACCTCCCCCAAGAGCTGACAGAGAAACAGAGGTTCCCCACAGAGCTGGTGCCCTGACTATGGAGTCCTGGTGTGGTGCTGTAGCATCCGCATCCGACAGCAAGGTCGATTTCAACAGCAAGAGCGTGGGCTCAAACTCACCAGACGCTCCTCAGACACCTTATGCAGGATCGCTATAGTCGGAACCGACTGGATGACACTTAACCACACTGTAGTGGAACAAACGTCTGTTTATCAAAGATCTCCCTGTGTGGCGTATCTGCTATAGCAACACGTTAGGTGCTGTCACGTCGGTACCAACTGAATGAAACCCTGCCCAGGCCCACATCCATCTCACAATCCTCACTACGGTTGAGCTCATTGCTGCTGCCACTGTTGACAATCCATATCGTTGGGGGTCTTCCCCTTTTTCACTGGCCCTCCACTTCAGCAAGCATGATGTCCTTCTCCAGGAACTGGTCAGTCTTGATAACATGTCTGAAGTATGAGAGATGAAATCTGGTCATCGTGTCTTCTAAGGAAAATTCAGGCTGCACTTCTTCCAACAC